GTTTACTGAACATCAATAGCACCATCAACCCCTACCCCGAAAAAGAAAAGGTAAAGAAAGGAGAAAAATCATCAACCTTGTATTTGCAGAAAATATGAAAAAATTCTTTGTACCAACTTAAAATAGTGGCTAGCTTTTATGCATGTTAGCATTGTTTCTTCTTTTAGTGTTAGTTATGCAGGTTAAACAAGTTGGCAATGCTACTATTTTTTACTTGATGACCATTTGACAGGATAAAAAGGCTATTTCACTTATCCAACATGTTCATTTTTTTTTTCTCAATATATTTCCTTTTTTCAGAATCTTTGAATTTTATATATGCAAATGATAAACTTCCGTAAGACTAATGACAAGGTGTCTAAAACATCTCTGCTATGAAACTTGGTAAACGAGCAATGTGTAACAGCCATAAATTGTTCCTGCTGTGCGTAAAATAAGAAGCGCATTGGCAGTTGGGCACAGGCACAGTAATACAGACATATGGTACTAAATCAAGATTCATCTTATGAATTTAACTCGCATTCAACATCACATTCACAAATTATTCGAAGTACCTTAACCACATAAAGTAATGCACAAAAATGTTATTACTCACATGTCAAAGAGCTTAGTAGTCGTCCACCAATGGCCCGAATTGAAGATGAGAATATCAGAATCGATCCACTCTTTACTTAAATCATCCAATTGGTCAAGCTTTAGGACGGACTTAACCCTCTTTGGGGCTCGTCTGGGCACTGGACCAGGCTGCACTAAGAAAACTGACCGGTAAAACTCAACTGTGAAATCGAAGGAACTAAACCGAACACCTAAATACCTAATCTGTTTCGTGATCTGATTTCCATTGATTTCATACACACTCTTAGGATCCACACCTGTCATGAGCATACAAATCATAGACTCCCATTGAGTTCGACTCAAGGAATCACCAACAAACACGATCCTCTTCCCTCGAAGCATTTCCCTTATTACATTCACTTCAAACCTCGGTATATCACAATTTTCGGGAGTCCACCTCCACTTAAGATACCCTTTATCCCCTCTACCATTAGCCAAACAATTAAACCCTCGTTCTGCAAAAGGGCATTGTGATGCATTGTATAAAGGGTAATTTTCATCAATTACCCATTTCCCATAAAAAACATTGCAAGATTTACTCAAAAAATCACTTGATTTATTACTGTAACTATTCACATTCACATTCCCAATATTCTCAACTACTGGTTCAACAGCTGGAAACGTGTAAAAATAGCTGGATCCGATCACAATAAAAAAGCAGATTAATGAAACACCCAGCAGCAACGAATTGAACGATTGAAAACCCCCACTTTTATTGTAATTCGCAGTTGAAAATTTGCCCAAATTAAGAAGTTTCATAACAGCAGGCTTCAAATGACCAAATGAACTCAAATCTAATTTACTCACCATCTTCACGCATCAACTATACATACAGAATTGTAACAACACTATTTGTCTTGTTCACCATCAAGAATCAAGAAAGGAACTTCTTTTCCGTGAAAATGAGCTTGAATAAGTAAAGACGTAGAAAATCTTACAGTTTCTTCGACTGGATTTTGTAGAAAAGCAAAGATTATGTAGTAAATAAGGCCTAAAAGTGAGCCTCTATCAGTAATTTAACTACAAATGGTTGTTCTTGAAAGTGAAAGCTGAGCTAAATACGTGGAACGCTGTTTGTGGCACTTTAGATTCAGGTGCCGCTAAATTATTTCTGTAATATTATATGCTTTGTCTGGTGAGATTTGCACCTCAATTTAATATAGAATACTTATTGATTATTTTCCATAAATCCAAGATCTATATTTGGATCAGTTTTTACAATCTTGCGTGCTTTTGACTCCAATTTTGAATTGAAGCTTCGGTTATAAAACAAAAGAAGAAAACTAGTTTGTTTAGTTCTTTAAGCAAAATAAAATTTTGTTGTCAAACTGAGTAAAAATTGAAAGTTTCAAATTATTTAGATCCACGAGCGAAATTAACCTATTAAAAATAACAAATCATTTTTTAATTATTTATAGATGATTAGGTTAACCGAGTCAATTTATCCGAAATTTGAATACCATAGTTTGTAAATAGGAAACTGTAAATAATACGGATATGATCTCAAAGAAAATCCTTTGTAACTTATGAAAAACTTCGGGCACTTTGACAGTTAACAATCTACTATAAACGATGAAACTTAAAATATGGTCCAGACTCGACTAACCCTATCACTTTGGTCCTCTTAGACTACGTGCTCCTTATACCAGCTCCCAACCCCTGGTATCGTTTATCTCATGTGGACCTCCAAGAACGAATTTCGATCTTTAGCGTCGAAATTCCAAGCACCTCTTTCCAAAACTCCAACTACTCTGAAGGCTAATTGGCGAAAGTAGATTTGGTACTTTATCAATGATCTTTCTATGTTATAATCTTGTAGGCTGATGCAATAGTCATTTGAATATATTATTGGCTTTCAAAGAACAAACTCTTGACTTACAACAAATCTCTACTAATTGGATCAATATATGAGTTGAATAATGAACAAATGATATCGTAGTTGAATCAAGGAATCAATGTAATGATATTTTTGATATTCAAAGAATGATCTCTATAATCAAAATATTGTTCAACCACCCTTTAAACGTCTCATATGGTGTATATTTATAATGCTTAGTGTTTGGGATAAAGGGAAATCAGTTTGAAAATTGAATATTATTGTTCCTCGAATAACCACATAGCTCAAGCGTCAAGCCAGCATCAAGCGATCGACAACTAAGCAGTCGTCAGTATTCTCATCATAATTTTCTCTCCCAATATCGAATTGAGGTAATTCAAAGTGTGTTGAAAATATAATTCAAAGAGTTACAATTGTTCTAGTAACCTTGTCCAAATTCCAATGTTTTCTATGTAACAAATGCATCGCAACTTGAAGCTGAGAATTTGGAGCATGCTTTGTACGACACTTTTACATTCTTTGAATTCTAATTGTATTCCAATGATCATATGTGATTTTCTTGGACGTCTTGGGCTTTATGCAAACTTCAAATATGGGGTCCCTGTGAATATTAAGCTCTTGTTTGATAGAGATTAAAATTAGATTTTTAGCAGATTTTGATCAAAACTAGTGAATGTGTGATTGAAAAGTTGTGGGTCTTATAAAATGTGTAGTTAAAATTAATTGTTGACTTTGATTTAGAACATATAATTAAATACAATTAAGAAATAATAAAACATAATTAGGAAAACTGGAAGACAAAATATAAAATTTAAAATTTAAAAACCCCAATACAAACATTAAAAAAAGAATAATAAGTTAATTGGGAAAATTCCAAATCAGATTACATAACACATAAAAAAACATTAGTTTAATTAAAACATTAATCAATACAATGACACTAAAAAAGTCGGAAAAATAGACAAATAAGACGAAATGCAAAAACCTAGAGAGAGAAATGAATAATGCCCACCATAAGAGTATTAGAAAAAAAGTAATGACCGTAAATTTTGAAGAGAGAAAAGTGACATTCTGTTTTTGGTTGAGAAAGAAAGAAAAATGATGGTTAATAAGATAAATTATCAAATTAATTATACATAGAGAAAGTAATGATTGTGATGCATTTATGTGATAAGGTTTTGCCATTTATATGATTTTTTAAAGGTATTTGTATTTTCAAATTTTATTAGTTTATCATAATTCTAATTTAAAGAATTTTGTGATTATAATTTTTGTTTTTCATCAACCAGCCATTAACCTTATATAATTTGGGGCTCTCATCAAATCGAAACTTTAGGCGATCGCATACGTTGCCCTTAGTCGGGGCAAACCCTGATTATGACTCAATAACTCTATTTTGATTTTAATTACAAAATGATAAACTTCTAATTGCATGAGAATTTAGAGCATGATTTGTACAATACTTTTACGTTCTTTGATTTCTAATTACATTCTAATGATCATATGTTATCTTCTTGAATTTGGACTCCTTCAAGACCTATGCTATCAATCTCAACTTTTTTTACTATAATTGGAACTCAATAACTTCTATTTTGACTTTGATTACAACGTGATAAACTCATAATTCAATCCAATTAGAACATAGATTTTGACTAATGAAATTGTCAATAACGAATTTGGAAATTGTTAATTTTGCTAATTACAAAATGGGACCTAACAAAAATATTATTATTTTAAAATTTCGATGTGTATTCCGTTAGTGTTATAATGTGAACTTATTGTATGGTTGATTGACCACAAACGAACAATGGTAGGGTAAATTCTGATCTTGATTCGAAACGATTTCATTATACCTCTCTTACCAGCTATGTTTTAGAAAAAAATTGGTTAATATAAAGGTGGTTGACTCTCAGACTTGACGGTGTGATACATGGCTCCATTGAGCCTTTCTGGTTAAGTGTAACTTTCGAGAAAAAATCTTCCTACACTAGTAGATAATTGAACTGAAGGTCCAGCGATCAATTCTCTAAGGTGGGAAGAATGATGTTGAGCATCTACGAACGTAAGGTTGGACTCCATATGAATTATGTTTTGAGGTGGATTTTCAAGCCTAATATGATATAGAGTTTGATTGCGTCCCTCTTTCACGACAAAATACATGTATAGACTAGCATTTTTTTGCATAAATTTCACTGAGAAAAGCATAGTCCATACATAAATTGAGTAATCCAAATGAGAAATCAAAAAGAATATAAGAATGAAAATGCTGTTGAAACTTTTAAAAGCAATACTCGTCTAAGTCATTGGACTTTTCTGTCATGTACATTCCAAGTGACAGCAAGCCTCAAATGCCAACGTACCTGGAGAAACCTGTGTATCAAACTGAAACCAAAGCCCGTAACAAAGAAAAAACGAGATACAGACTTCCACAGCAGAGCTGAAGGAATTATATAAGAACTATAATGAAGTCTTGTGTAACTGTAGACGTTCAAAGACAAAATGTAGAGGAGCTATCGTAGAACCAGAGGGGGAAAGGCAAAGAAATCGTCTATAAAGAAGAGAGTGAAGCTGTTTTCATTGGAGATGTTGGCGTAATCGAAGTTGCATTGTCTGTCCAATTTTTCTCACCCCAGTGCCATAGCATGCTTTCCCAGAAGCAAAAGTTTTCGAAGCAAGTCCCTAATCTTGGATCTTGTATCTTGATCTTCCAATGACCATCTGTATAATTACCTTTCTCTGCTTGCCTTCGATCCCACTCGAGTGCTGCCTTCTGTTTGGACCTAAGCAAGCAGTATTTGTGTAGATTCTCCGGCATTGCATCATGGACCTTCCACCATGTTCGATGTGCAACATCGCTAGCAAATTCCTGTAATATGTCCACATTCCAGTTGCAATCATAGTCCCGAAAACATAACCATGGTTTCAAACCTAAATAGTGGAGGACATATAAGACTGGAGGATCAGCACCAAACAGACGTGTTTTCATTTCTTTTTTCTCCTCCTCATCACCAATCCAAAAATGTTTCAAGAAGTTCATATGTTTTGGGATTCGGTGCCACCATGTGAAAATCTCGTTCAAATAACCTTGGTCACCACCATTGTAAGACTCGATCTCATTGATGTGATCCATCAATAACTGGAATGTGCAATTTGATGGTTCAACCACCATGACACCCGAGTTAAAGAGGGTGGCGTTATTTCCTGTAGCGGAAATTTCTGGCATCTCAAATAGGAAATCGATGTTTCTGAGTATTAACAAATCTGCATCAATGAATATGATTTTATCATAATCTGTCAATTGCCAGAGACGGAATTTGCTATAATTCCACTCATTGTAGGCATCTCGTTCAGCTTTAGGATTTCTGATTCTCTGAATTACTCGGATTTTCCACCCCGCGGCCTCAAGACCTCCCTTGTGATATTCACTGATAGTGTCATCAACAAGTATCACGAGATCCCGAGTTGAACCAGCCATTCGTATACTTTGTGCTGCCGCAATCGCCCCACAGACATAAACGTGTGCCGAGTGCAGGATTGTTGCATAAGCTTCTCGACGTTCACTTGCAGAGTACCAGTTTTCTGTAAGAGAGAAATGGAGTTAGCTATTCACTTTACACAAGCAAGATTATGTATATAACTGGGTGCAACAATTCCAAACCAGAAAAATATGAGTTTTTTTTAGAATAAGTTACTTCTACTACATAAAAATAAGACAAAAAGTTAGAAGGAACTTTACTTTTTTAAGCTAGGTGAAACAAGCTCTTTAATTTATTTTTTTTTTTTGGGGGTGGGGGGGCNAGCTCTTTAATTTTTTTTTTTTGGGGGTGGGGGGGCGGAGGGGGGGTTAGGAAGTATACACTGCATCAATTGAGATTGATGAAAAGAAAAATAAAATTAGAACTACCTTTGGACAGAAGGGGAACTGCAAGTTCGCATGATCCGACTGGTAAGCGAAGCTTCTCTCTCAATGTATTTAGATTGGGTTTATACAACCACACGTAGCCTTTGCGTATGACTAGATCTTTGCAAGTAAAGAGATTCGGAGTCGGGAAACAGTCAGTTATCAGTAGAATGTGAACAGGATGATAACCTTTAACAGTTGCAGCAAGCCTGGCTGCTTCCAGTTGCAAGTGCAAACGGGCCACGTCTCTCGACCAGTCTCCCGACTTATTACAAGGAAGCTTTACCGCTATGAGATCCATCCTAGGTTTTCCCAGAACTTGAATTTTGGGCAAGGTAGGACAAGTAGGAACCTCAAATTCTTCTTCCTCATCTATCCATTCAGGATACAGTGTTTCCCAAGTGATGTTGCTTGGGACATGATCCAGGTTCAGAGTAACATGCTCCGCATCTGGTAATAACCGTTCCCATTGATCAATTTCAGTTGCCTTGAAATTTAACAACCCTATTCCCTTGTACTCATGCCTGTCGGTTAGTTTCTCCATTGCTGCAGAAATTTGGTCCCAGTTGATATCTAAACGTGATACATAACTTTGATCTGTATCAATTCTATCCCTTATCCATCTACCTATGGAATTTGCCCTGCAATCAGAGTTTACAAACAAAAGAAAACAAGAAAATGATGCTCTTTTTAATCTATATTCGATATCATAACTAATGTTATGAGAACCTACACTACACCTATTGAGATATTTGTCATTGCAAAAACAAAAGAAAGCAAAGAAAATTTATTTGCCAAATCATGCAATTAATAAAACTGAACGAAAATAAGTTAAAACAAACCTAGATCCCGAATCAGACAAATGATCTGCATCATGAACTGTAGGAGAATGTAGGAGCGTGTAAAATGCTCCCAATATGATAATAGCCAACACAAGCTTCAAAGTAGGGAATTTGCAGTTTGATATCCTGTCCAAACTAGAACCATGAAATGGCCTTTCTCCATCTTTGAATACTCTAGTTCTGAAGGACCTTCTTTTGTTTGCTTCTTCGCTGAACCAAATAAATCAAAATATGTAAATAAGCTAAAAAAATCTTAAAAGGTGCACATAAGTGAGAAAAAAATGCTAATTGAAAATTTTGAACATTGTATAATGTATAGCCTAGTTTGAGGATACTGAGCCGCCTAATAAAACCGCAAAGAACAGAGAATCTGTAATACACCATTTTTGCACTGGTTAAGTGCTGGTCCTGTGTCTTTTATGGACTTCTACCAGATTTTAAGATTACTTTATTTGCTCCTACCACAATTTTCTAGAAAGAACAAGTAAAACGTGGTGCTGAGTAAGGCCTAGGATGATGGTTTATGTTTCAGTGTATTAACTGCCCACCCATTTCTCAAGCTTACACTTGAACAGGGGAAGCAAAGTTTGGGGGATTTGTAGAATGGGCTGAAAACATGTAGTTTGGCCAACTGATCCGATCCAGTGCTTACGTTGTAATGCATGCATGCAAAGTAAAAGTGTCCTCTGCACTTCAGATTCTTGTTTTACTTCTTTCATGGATATCGTGTTTTAATTAGCACACAGACAAACTAATTCAGGCCCTAATTACTGGTAGGCAGAGCTTAATGTGGAGACCGAGAGTTACATTAGTGAGCAGAATTTCATGGATATGATCTCATGCATCATTCCTCATCTCTGCTGATTTATGTTTGCATCCTATCTCTCGCCCTAGCAAGTGACTCTGATGGACCAAGTTAAGTTTTAAGAAATAAATATGGAAGGTGAGGCATAATTACGTTGTGGACATATTATACCAATACTAAAAGAAAATGGGGTGTTATCTGCCGGAATCTGAACCGTTAGCCCCTACTTCACAACTTCTTTACATGACCAAGAACACTAAACCCTTCAATGCCCTACAAACTTACAAGAACAATATGAACATTCACAGTCCACCACTCAAAACTGCATTTTGACCAAATAATCCTGTAATTACATTCAGCTTGTGAACCTGATCAAGCTGTGTAATCAATTCATCAACCCTAAACTATCATTTCTTTCACTAATCAATCTCAGGTCATGGTTTTTGATCTGGTCAGTTTATGCCAAATTACAAGAAAGGCCATAAAATAGGAGACAAAGCAAGAAATTTCAAACCAGCTACTAAAACCTACTGCAAATAATAAAGGTATTTATAAATTGTTGTTGAAACATTCAACTCCTAACCATCAGTACCTAATACAGCTACCACTTATAATGTCCATCTAGAAGATCATCGAAAAAAGGATGAAAATGAAAAAACTCTCTGGCGCCCTAAGTTTGCCAATCTCTCAACCCCGTGTTATTTAAATACCATAAATCCACCTGAGTCTAACCAATTCATAAACCCATAATTATATTTACGAAATGAGTACCTAACACTCTCAGAATCTAGGTTACATATCAGAGTTTCAATCCAACTCTGGGTCAATCGCCAGGGCAAATAATGAAGGGTGAATGTCTGTACAATCAAACCTAACCCCTCTACTCCCTTCTACGCTCTCTAATTAAAAATGAAATCCAAGCTTCATTACATTACAAACTCAAAACAATGACCAGTTCCCTACAACCTTCTGGAACTGAAATATTTCACCTCTAAATGAAGCTATTGTTCTGAAAATAAGCAACAACAACCTCACAAGCAGAAAATACGACAAACCCAGATGCCCAAAACAGAAAAACTTCCACACTTAGTCAACAATAGTTGAAAACGAGCCAATTTAACATGTAGAAAAACACAGTAAAAAATAGACAAGAACAGTATATAAAAAGCTCCTTCGAAGGCTTACGTGGAGAAGGAGAGCCTATGCCTGTGTTCTACTGGACTAGTTGCCGAGGCACCCAGATTTCCTCTCATATTGTCCGTTCAATGGCAGCCTAGGGGAGGCTGCATCTGATCTGAAGAAAAAATCAAAGTTCTACTTGATTTAAACTACAGAAAATGGAATCATAAAAAAACACTTCTACAAAATAATAATCACACACACTAAGGTGAAGTGCGTGATTTCCTTGATTTACACCCCTAAGAAGCTGGCGCTTGTAGAAAAATGCCAAATTAGAAGGATTTGCTGTCAAGAAGACCATTAATTTAATTCAGCGATTAAGTATGGAGACGGTTGAGTGCCAGAATGAAAAATGAAGAGGGTGTCCTAACATTTTAATAAATTTTAAAAGTCCAATCAGATTTTATTAAAGATTTAGCCCCAGTTTGACCATTATTCATTCAATCTCATTCATATAAGTTGATTTTTTCTTATCTCAATTTATAAATCACGATTTTTATTGATAATATTTTATCTTATTCGTTTACTAATATATCCTTATTTAATTTGTCTAATTATAACCAATGTGAGAATTGAAAATTAAATCATTCAATTTATCTACCACTTCCAACAATAATTTCTAGTTGTTGATAATTAAATAAGGGTAAACTAAGAAAGTTTTTGGCAAAAATTACTTTTTCAATTATATTAAATAATATTTCTTAATTCCTGTAAAAAAATAAAACTAATCTATATAAATAGAACGGAAAGAGTATTATTTTGGAAAAATAGAGTTTTGAATAATAATTTTTAGAAAAATGTGTGGCTAGAAAGTGGAAAAAAAAAATTGAATTTACGTGTAAAATATTTTATTATATGAATGTGTAGTTGAAAATGGGTATATAGAAAAAATAGTTTGAAAATAATGATTATCAAACAGGGATTTATTAAATTTAAGTATCTCCAATCAGAATTTTAATGACTTTAAATATAATACTTCAAATATCTTCAATAATTCACCAATTTATAATGCTTTCATTGAGAGAGATTTCAAAAGATTTGAATAAATTTCAAGTATAAAAATACACATAACAAACTCTTTTGAAATTTAATTATTTTTGTAAGAAGATGATTCTTTAAATTCAGTTTTAATACCTCAAACATTGGATGAAATTCTGTTGCAAGAAGGAGCCATTTTTCTTGCTGTTTTGATCAACTGAATTCAACTGGAATCTTCAACAACATCGAGCTTTGATTGGTTAGTTAGTTAGTTAATAACTAAAATGATTCCTTGTTTGTGTCTACAAAAGGGCTACATTAGGAGTGTAAAAGAGGAACTTGAAAATAGAGAAAGTGAGATGAAATAGAGTAGTGAACTCTTGTAAATATGTAGAAATTCTTTCTGATGATTTCAGNGATTGTAAATCATGTAAAGTCTTGTAGATAAATCAAGGCCGAGGAAGACATTCTTCCTGTTCCAAAAATATGTTCTTCAATTCTTCTTCCTGTTGGTTTATTGCTTCTGTTTCGCAAATATGTTCTGTTGTTTTTCCTGTATCTGTTTTCCTCTTCAAATCAATTCTGCTGGTGCAACGTGCTCCTTGAAATTCTGTATTAATTTTAGACTTAAAGGAAGTCTTTCAGCCCCAACAATTGATATTAGAGCTGGACTTTGACAACCTGAAAAAAGAAGCTGCAAATCAAGTCTGAAATTCTGCCTTATTTCTTTTTCTTAACTGGCTGCACACATCATTTGTGAAGAAAGATTCCTGGCCAGAATCTTAATCACACTATGTCAACATCCAAGTTCGAAGTGGAAAAATATGATGGCAAGAATGAATTCAACCTATAGAGGGAGAAGATGATGGCCCACCTTGACAATCGTGGGTTGGAAGAAGCTTTGAATAGGC